CTGGCCTGGTTTCTTTTTATGATGAGCTGTGATGTAGAAAAGAAAGACAAATGAACCCTTTCCTCCCCAAGTTGCTTTGGGGATCCTCCTGTTTGACCTCAGTGTTCAAATTACAGTCAGGCATGGCCACCCCCATGTGCTTCATCACAGCAACAGTAACCCGACCTAGGACACCCAGTGCTGAGATTATAGGCATATGCCACCATGCCTGTTTTATGTGGCACTGGGAACTGAAGCCAGGACTTCACACATACTAGCCAAGTACTCTACCAACTGAGCTACACCCTCAGCCCAAGTTAGGGCTTTAAAGTGACATGATAATGCTACATTTTAAGTGTAGTCCTGGAGAAAGAACTTGGCGATAAAAGACGCACCTACCATGCACAAAGGCTGTGGATTTGATGACCAGCATTAGGGAGAAAAAAAGTCAGGGTTTCTAACAACACCATGACCAAAAAGCAAGTTGAGGAGGAAAGGGTTTATTTGGCTTCCACTTTCATATCACTGTTTATCATCAAAGGAAGTCAGGACAGGAATTCAAACAGAGCAGGATCCCAGTGGCAGGAACTGATGCAGAGGCCATGGAGGGGTGCTGCTTACTGGCTTGCTCCCCATGACTTACTCAGCCTGCTTTCTTATAGAACCCAGGACCACCAGCCTAGGGATGGCACCACCCACAATGGGCTGGGCCCTTCCCCATTAACCACTAATTAAGAAAATGCCTTATAGCCGGATCTTATGGAGGCATTTTCTCAACTGAGGTTCCCTCCTTTCAGACGACTCTAGCTTGGGTCAAGTTGACATAAAAGCAGCCAGGACGAAGTGGAGGTGGAAAACCAACAGAGAATATGGACACGGAAGGCTGACTGACTGAGGATGCTAAAGATGAAAGACATGGCCTTGTGCACACAAGGTAAATTCTACCACTGAGCTAAACGGCCAGCCTGGAGATTCCAATGCTATACTAAAATGTCAGTGTCAACAGTAGCTATCCCTGGTTAGAAAAAACGCAGGTGTTCTTCTCACTTTACACACACACACACACACACACACACACACACACACACACACACACACACACTTAACTTAAGACCCTTACCATCACCTAACCAATGTTCTTAAGAACCATTCCCTCACGGCTGGGATTACAGGCACGCACCATCACGCTGGTTTAAGCGGTGTTGGGGATGGAACCAGGACTTGGAGCACACTAAAGTCATCACACTACCAACTAGCCACATCTCCAGCCCCTTGGGTTTTCTTGTTGTTTTATAGTTTTTCGTAAAAGTTATCTGGAGTTGAAATAAAACCCAAACTTACGTTAAGAGTATCTCTAGCTGAGCAGTGGTGGCCCACGCCTTTAATCCCAGCACTCGGGAGGCAGAACCAGGCAGATCTCTGTGAGTTCAGGGCCAGCCTGCTCTACAGAACGAGATCCAGGACAAGTACCAAAACTACACAGAGAAACCCTGTCTAGAAAACAAAAAAAAAGATTATCTCTAGTCTTTAACATTAAGGGCTGTGAGGGAAACTCAGTGCAGAGAAGTAATTTGCATGTGTAAAGCCCTAGGTTCCATTCCCAGCACTTTAAGAAAAAAAATCAAATCATTTACCATTTATGAAATGCATAGCCACTATTTAAAGAACACATGGAACAATTGTAAATACAAACCATCTATTTTATTTCATCCCTGAAAACAATGACAAAACAGAAATGTTCACAACCCCTCTGAGACTGCATAAGCCCTTCAGACTTCAACCTAGCAAAGGGACATAATCTCTTCACATAAAGGTACAAGGAAGACATTTCAGAAAGCTATCTTTCGTGAAACAATATATTCTTATACTCATTTTAACAAAATATTACAATCACTGCTACTGTTTGTGGTAGCACATTATAATAAGGAACAATCTTGAAAACTAAGTTCAATTTAGTCTGAATCTAGAGGCCAGCTGCTCTTGAGCAGTCATTATGTAGAATAAATACTACGAAATATAGAATACTATATAGCAATTGGATTTGCTACAAAAGATATTTAAATAAAGACATGGTTTTTTCTATACTAGAATCAACCAAGTTAAGATTTCTTGTGCTGTATACAGTAGCTATTTCCCTAAAAAGATAATCAGTCTTCATAATTTATATTTTAATGTTCTTAATTTTGTAAAGTGATCAGTTATATAAAATGAGTAGCTAATCTGACATCTCCTAACACAGGATACTCTTACATAACATCAACTAACATTAACATTTTCCAAGCAGTTTTGTGCAGCACAAATACATTTATTATATACATCTGGTTAACGTCCTCAAGTCTCTTCCTTTCCCCACCAATATAATCAAAGCAACATTTACCAAAATATGGAAATAATGTACGCCTTCCTAATGCAGAAGCAGTTAATGGGCCGAATATTTTCCTTTTCCTTTTTTTAGATAGGGTCTGCTCTGTTGCCTAGGCTGGCAGTGAACTTGCAATTCTCCTGCCTCAGCCTCCTGAGTATCCATGGCTACAAGCATATGACACTGGGATTTACTTTCAAATCAACAATCATGATTGTGAAAAATCACGCATATTTTATTTTTCATTTCATCATAAAAATATGTATTATTATGCAGAATATATGTAAGAAATTTTTAAGTATGAGATTAGAGATTACTCTCATTTCTATTAAATAGTCCCCAATGGTTAGGCTATGGACAGTGGTTGCTACCCATTTCAAAATTATACTCTTACAAATGCTATTTTTAAAAAATATACAGTTAACCTTCAGTTATTTTGAAGGATAGTGCAAATGAAAACATTCTTTGGGTCTATTTCAAAACATGATTTTTAACATGACACTTCCTTTTCCTGCTCATAATCTGAGTAACAAAATATAGTACTGGAATTAAGCATGTTTTCTACTCACAGGGACATCATGAGGGCAGACGACAGAATAATTCAGTAATGTTGTCGTCTGCTTCTCTGAAAAGCATGTTACATACTTAAATAAATATTTTATAGAAAGGACTCCATGTCTTTCTGGTGTTTTTGTTTCTTCTTGATCTCAGATACTAAAGATGGATACGAAGATGACCTCCCTGCTCACCACATCCACTGTGCTGCCAAACTCCCAGGAAGTATACAGAACAGCATTGAAGAGCTTTGTGGGAAAGCAAACTAAGAGTGCCTGCGAGTTTATATACAGAAGTAGCGTCCTATGAATCCAGCGAGCTCCTTGGAAATGCGTAGAGCTTTTATTGTCAAGTATCACTGCGTCCCAGGCAGCGGTTTAGAGGTGTCCTGCGACGGATGTACTCCACAGTGGTGCAGCCCTGCAGGTGGCCCTCACTGCTATCTGACACTGCCCGGCGCGCTCGTCCTTTTGTGGGTGGTCACCGGCACGAAGCTCCCACTGGTGCCGTTGGTAGTGTTGGCTGCCGAACCATTCACAACAATATAGTCGACCTTGTTCTCCAGCTTCACCAAGCGTTGCAGGATGTCGTCTAAGAGGACTGCGATCGTCCTCTTCAGATCCGCTAGGGGAAGAATGGGAATAAATCGTATTAAATAGCAATAGAGCACTTAATACGTGTCTGTACAGTTTACAGGAAAGAGGTAAACGATTATCAGGGCATCTGAAAAGAAAAGTTACTACAGAGAACACACTCGGACCCCAGACAGGGAAAGCCGAGTCACGTTTATCACTAGCACCACACCCAAGGCAAGAGAGTTCAAACACACCAGCAACTCTCCACTTCTGAGAGCAGCGCATCAGGTTTAAAGTCTGGCTCAAAACATTCCTTCTCTGTAAGGGATACACTCACTTTTAAAAACGGTATTTATTCTAGGTGTATGGATGCTTTATCTAATGTATGTCTGTGCACCATCTGTATGCCTGGGGCCCACGGGCCAGAGAGGCTGCTGGATTCCATGGACTAAGAGAGCTGTGAGCCCTATGTGGGTACTTCCAGGTCCTCTGGAGGGAAGCCAGTGCTCTCAACAGCTGAGCCATCCTCGACACACTACGCTCAGTTTTTTGAGCAGCGTATACAGAAGGCTTGGACCGGGCAGGTGAAATACAGGAAAAGGCAGGTAAAGAGAGCTAAGTAAACAATTCAACTAAACACAAGCAAGACACCTGAACCCTCCAGACTGGAGCAGGAATGGGGAGCCAGGGCACGGGGCGACCTCCTGGGTGGGGGGGACTGCTCTGATCTACACTATTTCTGAGTTTGAAACAGTGACTTTCAGGTTCAGCCTGGGTGACTCCAGGTTACCAAGCAGCCCTTGACTCCATGTTGAGGACAAATGCAGAAGCTTTTGACTTTGCATCCTGCTTGTGTGCAGATACTACCACCAGGCCAGCACTAACCCTGAGGCATTGACCATCAACTTCTCCATATGAGCAGAAAGGTGTACACCAGCTGGGCAGTGGTGGTGCACGCCTTTAATCCCAGCACTTGGGAGGCAGAGCCAGGCGGATCTCTGTGAGTTCAAGGCCAGCCTGGTCTACAGAGTGAGATCCAGGGCAGGCACCAAAACTACACAGAGAAACCCTGTCTCGAAAAAACAAAACAAAACAAAACAAAACAAAACAAAAAAAAAGGTGTACACCAGACCCAAGAAGGATGCAGCATGAGCTAATGGACTCAAAAGTTCTCAAAGAAGAAATGCCAATAAATACTTGAAAACTTGTTCATCATCCTTTGTCATCAGATATATGCAAATTAAAATGGCATTGAAGGGGCTGGAGAGATGGCTCAGCAGTTAAAAGCACTGGTTGCTCTTCCAGAGGTCCCGTGTTCAATTCCCAGCACCTGCGTGGCAGCTCACAACTGTCTGTAACTCCAGTTCCAGAAAATCCAACACCCTCACACAGACATACATGCAGGCAAACACCAAACACTGAGCATAACATAAAAGAATTATAAGAAAAAGGAAACAGAGATATCTACCATTGAGACGATGGTGACAAACCCACCTACCTGTTCTCTAACCATGCCACACAGGCACCAGGGAAGACAAAGAACCCCAAACTGCTTCCAGCAATTTAGGTCAGCAATGCCCCGCACTGCTTGATGAGATCTAATCCAACTGCTGTCCTGATCCATCTCCACCCCACCCTGCCCCTTGACTGGAGGGTCCAGTCCTGTGCACTTGGCCTCAGTCTCTCGGCTCCTTCTCCAGCTCTTCCTCGGCAGGGTTCTCTGCAGCTCCTCCCACTTGAGATGCTCAGAACCCTGTCCAACTTTCAGGCACTGTGTTCTATTAGCTCTCACGTCAGCCGTGGTGAGGCCTCTCTGAGCTCTGTGTCACCAACCTTTTGTAGCCGTTGTGTGTGTGTGCACACACACAGTGATACACACGTACACACAATAATAAACTGCATTTTTTTAAGAAAAATATGTGATCTGAGAGTTATTAGCAAATAAGATTGGAATAAAAGATCTCATGTCCTTACCGTCAGTACACCTAGAACCATCTGGAATACTGCAGTCAATTAAGCCAGCAAAGCTTGCGAACTGACTGTCACTGCATGAATTCTGACCTTGTGGAAAGATGCACTGTGTCTACCGTGGACACCGCACACTCAGGAGACCTGGCCAGGGCGGCAGGCATGCCACCTCGTTCTAACTTGAACTTCTTCCAGAAAAACCACCATTGCTCTAATTCTTAACGTTTGTGGAACGTGAAGGGGCTTAAGTAGACTTTTCCTAGCTAGAGCAAAATGAATTGCTCTTTTGTGAAATTGTCCCTTCGGGTTTTTCACTGGCATCTCACAGATATTAGGTGATCAATAGTGGCAATTGATAGTGCTATTTTTTGGTGATCCTGGACCAAAAAGGCAGCTCACCCTACTCTCCGATCACCAAGGAAACTCATTTAACACCCGCTGATAAAGCTGCTGATGGCTGTGCTGCTATCAGAAAAAGCATAAGGCATAAAAGAAAAAAAGAGCAAGTTGGACTTCATAAAAACTAAACCCTTAGGAGCACCAAAGGAACATAGCAATAAACTAACTCCTAACGATATTCTACTATACTCAAAGATCAGTGTCTTGCTCAGCCATCATCAGAAAAGCTTCTTCCTGTAGCAGATGGGAACAAATCCAGAGATCCACAGATAGACAATATGCAGAGAATGAGAGACCTTGAACGCTTATCCCTAAACAGTTTGTTTCCATCAAATCCCCTCCCGCCTCAGGGCTCAGGGAGCCCAGCAGAAAAGAAGGCAGAAAGACTGTAAGAGCCAGAGGGGATGGAGGACACCAAGGAATCAAAACCTAAACACAGCAGGACATATGAACTCACAGAGACTGAGGCAGCAGACACAGACCTGCACCAGATGGGGTCCTCGAGCTGAAAAGGAGAAGTGGACCCTCACCCCATCCCTAACCCAGAAGCCATCTCTAATTGATAGCCACTTGCAAATTAATTTTTCTCCAAGGGAGTCTCTCTAGGGAAGCAGACTATTTTTTTTTCCTTTTGGTTTGTTTAGACAGGGTTTCCCTCAGCTCCCTCTGCAGCTCCACATCTGCCCGTGTGCCACCATGCTTCCCCCATGATAATGGGCTAAGCCTCTGAACTGTAAGCCAGCCCCAGTTAAGTGTTTTTCTTTATAAGAGTTGATTTCCTTTATATGGTGTCTCTTCACAGCAAAAAAACTCTAAGACCATTTTCAAACTAAGAAAACAATATCAGCTCTCCAGAAAAAGAGTATATATATTTGCACAGAGATAAATACATCTGGACACTGTGATACGTGCCTATAATCACAGCACTTGGGAAGCTGAGGCAGAAGGATCTTGAGTTCAAAGCCAGCCTGAGCTACAAAGCAAAACCTTGTCTCAAAAGACCAAAAGGGTAAGGGGATATAGATACCCAGTTTATGACTAAGCAATTCAACAGCCACTTATTCTCAGCCTTTGCTTATTTTTGAGACAGTCTCACACCTTACCTAGAATTTGCCAATCCAGTTAGACTGACAGGCCAGCATGCCCCAGGGACCCTGGTCTCCACCTTCCTAATGCTGGGATTACAGGTGTGCCACACCATGCCTGGAACCATAAACAGGGTATCTACATGTCCTCCAAGGCTCAGGGGATACCACAGAAGGGCAGAAAGAACGTAAGAGCAGCCTGGGAGTGACAACCTACTGTACTCTTGACTCACAACAGTTAGGACACCTGCTGTGAAGAAGGCCTCTCCTCAACACCAGTAACTACCTCTGCTGAAAGAAGAAAGGTGGCCTGACCAAAAGGGACACCCAACCAACAGACTTACTGCAGAGGCCCAATCCCAGTGCACTCAGGAGGCAGGAAAAGGTTGAGTTCAAGTTCAGCCTAACTTACAAAGCAAGAACCTATCTCAAAAATAAACAGAGTTGGGCATATAACTCAGTTAATAAAGTACTTGCCTAGTATGGGACACAGGCCTGTAATCCAGTACTAGGGGGAAGAGAGAAGGGAAGATCAGATGTTCAAGGCCATATTCAACTACATGGTAAGTTCAGGTAAGCTCAAAATAAATGATTAATTAAATAAACCAGGCTAGGGCTACGTTTGGTTTACAGTGCTTGTCTAGCATTACGTGAGGCCCTGGGTTTGATTCTCAGCACTTGTAGAACGGGCTTCATTCAGACTCATGACTCTCCTGTCTCAGCCTTCTGACAATTTCTAGCTCCCCATCTCATCTAAGAGGGGGAAAAAATAGAAGACACACGAATAGAACTTAAAACAAGCCGGGCGGTGGTGGCGCACACCTTTAATCCCAGCACTTGAGAGGCAGAGGCAGGCGGATCTCTGTGAGTTCAATGACAGCTTGATATATATATATATATACACACACACACACATATATGTGTGTGTGTATATACATATATATGTGTATATATGTATACATATATATACATATACATATACATATACATATATATATATATATATATAGTGAGTTCCAAAATGGCCAGAAAAGAGAGATTCTGTCTCAAAAAATAAAACAAACAAACAAACAAAAACACCTAAAACACAGGAACCAGGATTTGAAAGGGAGACTCGCAGTAAGCAATGCTAAAACTATAGGTAAATCCTGGTTCTTGGACTTCATAGATGTTCTCCATTTGATGTTGATATTGAGAAATTTTTTAAAAAATCAAAAAAGTATATACATATATAAAACAAATACACTGTATTACATACTCATTTTTAAATGCACATAATATACTTTATACGTACATATTTTAAAGAGATGAATGTAGTAGTGAAATGTTACAATTTCCTTACTGTACTTAAAATGTAATAAATGTGAGATGTTAATAACAAATCTGGGTGAGGAATGCATGAGTACTATATTCCTAGTTTACATTTGAAAATATACACCTGTACTCTTAAAAATCAACTTATAAAGAGCACACCAGGAGCCGAGCTCAGTCCCTGCAGCTGCGCTTGCACAGGAACGACTGGGAAGGAGAAGACCCAAGACATCCCGTGGTTCTTACCGTAGCCTGCCATGGAGGCTCCGCTGTCCACATCCACCATGCTCTTGCTCTCCTCTGCCAGGGCCTTCACGTATCTTTTGCTTAAATCTAGGATCTGCTCACGTAACTTGACGCTGCTCTGATGCCGCGGCTGTTGAAATGTATAGTGAAGTAACATCAGCCCCCAGATGAGTCCGAACACCAGCAGCAGGAAACTCAGTTTCTGGGACATATTTTTTCTTGAGATTGTTAAAAACATTTCTGATGAAGCAAACAGACTTGATTGAGAAGCAGTGACTGGAGACAAGACACCAAATAATCAGGACTTTTGAGAAAAGAGGAAAAACTCTCTAGTGCTGTGTGTCCATCTTCAGCACGGCTCCCTCTGCTTTGACATAACTGTAAATGGAGAACAAAGGGGTCAGTGTCACGTGTATCGGGATCGGGATCAACAATGAAAGTTCTAGAGTTCTGATTTGTTACGATGTCATCTTTCCCTGACAACTTTCTCTGCCTCAAATATGTGGGGGCCCAACAGCTTGACCACACAGCTGCCACGACAGGCTTACTGGCAGGTACCACCCTGTCCCCAGAAAAAGCCATAAGGTGACCCCATTCAGGGAGGGCCAGCATCTAAGGAGAAATACCTGACATTCCAAGCATTCCCAGCACACATCTATACCCTAGACAAACACCAGCCAATCAGGGTCCTGGACCCTGGAAACCCTCTCACCCCAACCTCTGCTATGATAAAAACTCTGCCCCACCCAGGCTCCCTCCGGGCTCTCTGCTCTCACTGTTGTGTCGGACAGACAGAGGGACCAAGCTCGGAGCTTGAAATAAAGGCTCTTTGCTTTTATATATGGATTCGGTCTCCATGGTGGTCTTTTGGGGGTCCCCGTGATCTGGGCATAACAACATACATTTTCAAAATTAAATGAGAAATAAATATAAATTTGTTGAGAATATCTGAAAAATGTGCCACTGTGAAGGCAATATTAAGGCCTAGACTTGACTTTACAGACTCCATCTTAGGGAAGGGC